TACCCTCTAGAAAGTTTATATATATCCAGTACTTTGAGTTACGTACATATATAGTTATTGTGTGGTCATATTTGGGTGGTTAAGGTGCAGTAATTGCTGCAACTCTTGGGTATCTTTATTGATACCCAAAGATACCCAAGAGTTGCACATGTGTCTAATTTATCAACAGTAATTGCTGCTGGTAACGAGGCAGTTCAACACTGGAGGGGTAGTTAGACGAGCATGGTTGTTTTCTGATGTTATGAACCAATGTGTGTCAAAGTTTGTGTTAATATTGTGAGGAATAACGTAGTTACCCCAGCTTGTTATTAGTGTTATTCTCCTCAAGGAAGGTTCCTTGATGTTGGTGAGGGGCTCTTGATTTAGGGAATTGGATCTGTGCTCCAGTTCCCCAAATTAAGCCTGAATGCTTTCCACACCCCCCCCCAGGCGCTGTATAATCCTCCGGGTTTAGCGCTTCCCCCTTGATTATAATATTAGTGTTATTCCTGTACCACACCTAGGTGCACTACAACTAGGTGTACCACACCTAGGTGCACTACACCTAGGTGCACTACACCTAGGTGCACTACACCTAGGTGCACCACACCTAGGTGCACCACACCTAGGTGCACCACACCTAGGTGCACCACACCAGGTGCACCACACCTAGTGCACTACACCTAGGTGCACCACACCTAGGTGCACCACACCTAGTGCACTACACCCAGGTGCACCACACCTAGGTGGCAACCACAACCTAGGTGCACTACACCTAGGTGCACCCACACCTAGGTCAAACCACACCTAGGTGTACCACACCTAGGTGTGTGTTTATTTGTGTTGTGTGTGTGTGTGACAAGTTAATCGTAGTTTAATGTTTTTGTTTTTCGAGAGGTAAACCTTGAAGGTCTCTGGCTTAGGAGAGGGAGGGAAGAAGAGAAGGATGGGGGAGGGAGGGAGGGAGAGAAGGATTGGGGGGAAAGGGAGGGAGGGAAGAGAAGGATGGAGGAGGGAGGGAGGGAAAGAAGGATGGAGGGAGGGAGGGAGGGAAGAGAAGGATGAGGAGGGAGGAGGGAAGAGAAAGGAGGGAGGGAGGGAGGGAGGGAAAAAGGGAAGGGTGGAGGGAGGGAGGGAGGGAAGAGAAGGAGGAGGAGGGGGGGAGGGAAGAGAAGGATGGAGGGAGGGAGGAGGGAAGAGAAGGATGGAGGAGGGAGGGAGGGAAGAGAAGGAGGAGGGAGGGAGGGAGGGAAGAAGGATGGGGGAGGGGGGGAGGGAAGAGAAGGATGGAGGGGGGGAGGGAGGGAAGAGAAGGAGGAGGGAGGGAGGGAGGGAGGGAGGGAAAGAGAAGGATGGAGGGAGGGAGGGAGAGAAAGGTGATAAGTAGTTACAAATATATTTTATTCATACATAAAACAGTTTGAAGATAGGTATAAACAGGTGGTGGAGGCCAGGAATCAAGACAGCTGCTGGATAGTTAAAAGGCGGGGGCCAGGAGCTATGAATCGACCCCTGTAGACACAAATAAGTGAGTACCCACAAACACACAACACACACAAACACACAACACACACAAACACACAACACCACAAAACACACACAACACACACAAAACACACAACACACACAACACACACAAACACACAAAACACACCAACACACACAACACACACAACACACACAACACACACAACACACACAACACACACAACAACACACAACACACACAACACACACAACACACACAAACACACAACACACACCAACACACACAACACACACAACACACACAACACACACCCCAAAACACCACACAACAACACACCAACCAAAACACACAAAACACAACACAACCACAACACACACAACACACACAACACAACACACCAACACACACAAACACACACAACACACAACAAACACACAACACACAAAAAACACACACAACCACAAACACACAACCACACCAAACACACACAACACACACAACACACACAACACCAAAACCAACACACACAACACACACAACACACACAAACACACAACACACACAACACCACAACAAAAACACAACACACACCCAAAACACACAAACCACAACACACACAACACACACAACACACACCAACACACACCCAAACACACAACACACACAACACACACAACACACACAACACACACCAACACACACAAACAAAACACCAACACACACCAACACACACAACACACACCAACACACACCAACACACACAACACAACAACCAACACACACCAACACACACCCAAAACACACCACACACACCAACACAAAACAACACAACAACACACACACACACATCACAACACACACCCAAAACACACAACACACACAACACACACAACACACACAACAAACACACAAAAACACCAACACACACAACACACACAACACACCACAACACACACAAAACACACAACACACACCAACAACACCCAAAACACACAACACACACAACCCACACAACACACACAACCACACACACACACAACACACACAACACACACCAACACACACAACACACAACACAAACACACACCCAAAACACACAACACACACCAACACCAAAACAACACACACCAACACACACAACACACACAACACAAAACAACACACACAACACACACAACACACACAAACACACAACCAACACACACAACACACAAACACACCAACACACACACACACACAACACACACAACACACACAACATCACACACAACACACCACACACACAACACACAACCAACCACACACAACACACACAACACACACAACACACACAACACACACCCAAAACACACCAACAAAACAACACACACAACACACACAACACACACAACACACACAAAACACACAACACACACAACACACACAACACACACAACACACACAACACACACAACACACCACAACACACACCAACACACACCAACACACACCCCACACACAACACCACAAAACACACAACCCCACACAACACACACAACACACACAACACAACCCAACACACACAACACCACAACACACACAACACACACCCAAAACACACCAACACACACCAACACACACAACACACACAACACACACCCAACACACACCCAAAACACACAAACACACAACAACAACAAACAACACACACAACACACACCAACACACACCCAAAACACACAACACACACAACACACACAACACACACCAACACACACCCAAAACACACCCAACACACACAACACACACCAACACTCAACACCACAACAAAACACAACCACACAACACACACAACACACACACACACACAAACACACAAACACACACAACACACAACAAACACACACCCAAAACACACCCAAAACACACCAACACACACAACACACACAACAACACACACACCAACACACACCAACACACACAACCACACCCAAAACACACAACCACCAACACACACCAACACACACAACACACACCCAAAACACACAACAAAACACCAACACACACAACACCCCAACACACACACACACCAACACACACAACACACACAACACACACAACACACACAACCCCACACCCAAAACACACCAACACAACACCCAAAACACACAACACAAAACAACACACACACACACCAACACACACAACACACACAACACACACCAACACACACAACACACACAACACACACCACAACACACAACACACACCACACAACCCAAAACACACCAACACACACAACACACAACCAACCACACACCAACACACACAACACACACAACACACACAACACACCCAACACACACCAAACACACAACACACACCCAAAACACACCAACACATAACCCAAACACACGAACAACACCACCAACACACACCCAACCCCACAACACACACCAACACACACCCAAAAAACACCCAACACCCCAACACACACCAACACACACAACCCCACACAACACACACAACACACACACACACACAACACACACCAACACACACAACCACAAAACCACACACACCAACACACACCCAACACACACCAACACACACCAAAAACACACCCAAACACACACAACAAAACACACCACACACCAACACACCAACAAACACACACCAACACACACAACACACACAACACAACACAACACACACACACAAAACCAACACAAAACCCAAAACACACAACACACCAACAAAACACCAACACACACCAACACACACCCAACACACACCAACACACACCCAACACCAAAAACCAACACACACCAACACAACACACCAACACACACCAACACAACACAACAAAACCAACACACACCAACACACACAACACACCAACACACACAAACACACAAAAAAACACACACCAACACACACCAACACACACAAACACACCACACAACACACACACCAACACACCCAACACACACCAACACACACCCAAAACACACAACACACACCCAACACACACCAACACACACCAACACACACCCAAAACACACCCAAAAACCCCAAAACCCCAAAACACACCAAACACACACAACACAAAACCAACACACACCCAAAACACAACCACACACAACCAACCACACACAACACACACAACACACACAACCCAAACACACAAACACACACAACACACACCAACACACACACACCCACCAACCACCCCAACCCACATAACACACACAACACACACAACACACACAACAACACACACACAACACACAAAAACCAACACACACCAACACACACACAAACACACAACAACAAAAAAAAACACACAACACACACCAACACACACCAACACACAACACCACACCAACACCAACACCACACCAACACACACACACACACACACCACACCCACACACACACACACACACACACACACACACACACACAACACCACAACACACACACACCCCCAACACAACACACACCAACACACACACAACACACACCAACACACACCACACAACCCCACACA